ATCGAAAATTGTATTGTGTGACATTGAATGGTACTTCTTGATAACTGAATTTGTTTTTATCTGGGTAATCAACAGATTATAGTTAGGCTACTAAGCATCCAGTTTTGACACTTCAATTGTGTTGGGGAGCTGTATATATTTCAGTCAAATTCATGCTGAGCACAGCTTAATGATTTCGATTTTATAGTCTCTATACTTGATCAAGATGATGAACAGTCAAATTCAATCAAAATATCTGAACCATAAACATGTGCTCATTGTTAAAACTAAGGCTTTTTCAACAATATGGATGTTAATCTATAGCACATTTAGGAGCTACCAGTATCGTGTACATGCACATGCACTTTTAAATAATAAAAGTTGTGTCCTACAATCTTTATTATAAATTGAGTTTATTCTGATCATTTACAATTGAATTACAATGCTGTTTACTTCTCTCAAACTTTTATTAGCACACATGGATGAGCTATTGTTATCGCCAATTTGTCTGTCCATCTGTCTGTTCACTTTTATAGCAGAAATAAGGTTTTGGTCATAACATGTCAATCATCGATTTGCTTGAATTTGTTCAAGAACCGAGTTTATAATGTACCCAAGGGACTTTTTTTTTTTTATAACAAGTGTTGTCCTTTGTTACAGAATCAGTAAGCAGTGATGAGTGCAACATCAAGCAGAGGTGTGGGTAAGTCGTATCAGAATATTTTTAGTGAGTATGAACAACTTTCTTACCCTTGAGCCACATGTGAATGTCAAGGGTAAACAGTTTATTTTGTGGATTCATTTAAAAATTTTAGAGATGTTTCTATGGATGAAAGTTTAGAACTGATTAGTTTTTAGGCGGTCTGGGTAAATGTTAGGGTGGCCATTGGCCATTTTGGATGTTCCATCCCATAAACTGTATTCTATTCAAGGGTGCGATTCTGTTCACCCTGCGTCTTGTTCTATAGTTATATCACTTAAGAGTAGATAGCAAATATTTGTATCATTTTTTCGATTTGAGTTTCAGAAAATTCAAAATGGCTGCCTATGTGGAATTTGGCGATAATTTCCTGATTTCTTCAAAGTTAGCCAATATTATACTGAAATTGAAGGGAATTTATTTAGATAGTGAAAATATGTTTATTGGTGAATAATTTTACGCAGCAAAAAAAATTCAAGATGGCTACTGCTTTAAAAATGGTTGGTGATTTTTCCCAGAAACATACATTTCACATGTATTCATGTTTTTCAGCCTGACCCCCAGGAGTAATGTAAAGGGGGGGGGGGGTGTTTGAAAAACAGGAATTTTCATTAATTATCCGAACAAATGAAGTTCTGTAGGGATATAGTGAAGCCCTCCATCTATCAGTCAGTCCGTCTGTCCGCAAGATAACTCGATCACTTGTTAACAGATTTTCTTCATATTTGGTGGAAAGATGTATATTGGTGAATAGTTTTATGCAAAAAAAATCCTTTTCAAGATGGCCACTGCTTCCAAAATGGCGGGAGATTTTTGCAAAAATCTTAAGTACTTTGAAAAGTACAATAGTTTTTAATAACTATTCGCTGCTTAGTTGATTTTTATATGTAAACTTTAAATACAAACAAATACAAACTGAAGTTAGACAAATTATCTTATTTATCTTATTTATTATCACCATCAACATTTTTACAACAAACATTTTGAGATTAAAGCAATCTTTATTTTCAAGAAGTTTTAAAGGTTTTAACGTTTTTTAAAGGTTCATCAATTCAAGGGCAAAATGGACACAAATCCATTGAATTTCTTAAAACATAGGTAACTGATTTGTTCTGAATAAATATTGTTGAAAAGTTCAAGAACATATCTTCCAGATTTGCTCTGAATAAGTATTCTGGTAGAATTCAAGATAAAGTTCAAGAATCGTTTATGAATTGTTCTTGAAGTACAAAATAGCACTTACATTGAATTTGTTAAGAATTATAATTCAAGAACACAAGTTCAAGATTTGTTCTAAGTAAGTATTCTGGAATAGTTCAAGATTAAGTTCAAGAAGAATTCTTGAATAATTTTTGAAGTGCAAAATGGCACTAATTCATTGAATTTGTTAAGAATTAAAATTCAATAACATATGTTCAAGATTTGTTCAGAATAAATATTCTGAAAGAGTTCAAGAATAGTTCTCGAATAATTCTTGAAGTGCAAAAAGGCACCAATTCATTGAATCTGTTCATTGAATTTGTTAAGAATTAAAGTTCAAGAACACAAGTTCAAGATTTATTCTGAACAAGTATTTTGGAAAGGTTCAATGTAAAGTTCGAGAATAATTCTTGAGGTGCAAAATGTATCTTTTTATTGAATTTGTTGAGAATTTAAATTCAAGAACACAATTTCAAGATTTGTTCTAAACAACTATTTATAGAACTTTTCCTGAACTATAGTTCAAGAATAATTGTTCACAAAATATTCAAGAACAAAAATTCTGCAGAAATTCAATGAATGAATTCAATGAATTAGTGCCATTTTGAACTTCAAGAACTATTCATGAACTGTTCTTTGAACAGATAGTGAACAGTTCAGGAACTGCGTTCAAGAATTATCCAAGAATAGTTCAGGAACAGTTCAAGAACAGTTCCTGACATTTTCACAGGGGATGTTTACGTTTTCTCTGCCTACAATTTTAATTCATTGTTGTAGGCAAACAATGTTGAGATGCTGCTGGCAATCACAACGAAGAAATGTGTTCATGCGCCGGGATCCAAGAAAATTTTTAAAGAACCATTACAATGGTCAGTCAGAGAGGTGTTCGACTCTACATGGGACCATTAATGAAAAATGGACTTCTAGACTGGATTTAATCCATCTCACATCATCTTTTATGAGTACTAGTATGTTTTTAGCAGTCATTCACTTTTGATCAACACTTTGTAAGCCCAGTACCCTCGCTTGACCACTGAATTACATAGATTTGAATTAAGTTCCAGCCTGGCATGTTGGTGTGGAAAAAAACAGCAAAAATTTGGCTAAAGTTTTGAGAGTTAATCCAGGTAAATTGGCAGAAGAAAATATGTGGGTCATTTACATCAATTTATTTTCTAAAAAGAATGACACACTATGTATTTCATTCTTGTCAGTTTGTTAAGTATTGGGATACGGGATAATCAAGAGGTTAAGCAACACTACTTTTTACAACGTAAAAATTTCCAGGGAAGATGCAACACATTTGCTGAGTAAGAACTTACAAAATATTGTGTCCATCAAAAATTCCAGGTTGAAAAATTTGCTTAAAAACTGATGATTAGTTTGGCTGTCAACCATCTTCAACTCGACATGACATAATGAGATGGTTATGGTGACATATATCACTTACCTGCAATTAAGCATGGCAACCTTTATGAAAAAAAAGAAAGAAGCAATGGTGAAAGAAGCA